TCCAGGCGCTCAAGCAGTTCGAGCTCAGTGTGAGACAGTCCATGTTCAGAGATGCAGGCGTAGTGCCATCTACCCAAGACATGATCCATGCCCTAAAGACCATGCCACCTCAAGAGGCTCAGTTCATAGTGACAAGTGCAGCAGTCAAATTGTGTCCTCCAGAAGAAGAAGTGTTCGATTACATGAAATGTAAGGCATTTTCGGAGCAAGGTCTTACCAGAAAAATAAAAGTAACAAGTAAAATACCTCAACAATTTTTCACGTCAAAATTTGATAGTGACTTTTCGAATTCAATTTAATTGACATAACCAAACATTCCTGTTTTCCATTTGCAGGTTTGCATGTTCCCCAGATGAAGAGAATTATCAAGAAGTTGAATCTGCTCTTCGAACCAAATGAGCTGGCCTCATTCTACAGGAACTTGAACCACAAACAACAAGAAAAACTAATGGAATGTGCGTTTAGTGATAATGAATTAACTCTCACAAAAAATTAGCATTTAGTTAGTTTTTTTACAGAGCTCAAAAATCACAAAACTTGCGCAATATACCAAAAAATTTAGAAAAAAATTTGACTTTTTACTACTTACATTTTTCGCTTAATCATTTTAGTGGTATTGGACAAACTATCGATTCCGTCTATCTGCTGTTTCCTGAGCAAGTTGGACAGCTGTGACCTGGACGGGATAGTGTTCTGCGTGAGCAATAGGTACCTGCTGAAAACTAAGAAGGCCATAGCTGCATTCATTAACAGTCTCTCGCCAGAATGCCAGAGGGAGTACCTCGACGAAATATGTGAGTCAAGTTATGACAAAAAATAGCGAGTTAAACATTCACTGAGTCATTGATTACAAACCCAGCTTCAGTACTAGCCAGCAATATGAAGTATACTAGCCGGATGTTGAGGAAGCAGCACAGTAAATTCCGACCAAATTTGTTTTGAAAAAGATTTAAAAAACAGTTTTTCAAGTCCTTAAGCCTTTCAATTTTCTGTCACAACTTTTTTTCAAATATTGCAATTTGAAAGCTTTTTTAACCAATTTCAAAAACTTAGGATTTTTTCGAGCGGAAAAATATTCGAAAACTTTAACGACCTTTTTTTAGTTCTACCAGTTTGATTTTTTGAGTTATAAAGACCAAACTGCACATGTATCAACTGCAAACAAATTTTAACACAGAGGCGACGCTGCAATTTGCAAGCACAAGCCAAAAGGCGACAAAGTAGATCTTCGAGGGTCAAATGTTGAAAAAATGAAAGAAAAGATAAAAACTAAGAACAGAAAAAGGCAGCTAGATTCCGGAATCGAACCCCGATCTCAAGATAAAGAGACAACCGTGCGAGCGTCTGCGCCCTCCTAGACACCTGAAAACCAGACTAGGGGGTCCAGTCAAAGCTGGAAGAAATTGTTTGATAATTTTAATTTTACTGACGCAAAACGTAAGGCATAGTTTTCAGAATGTCCACAACTGAAAATGTTTTGGCTGATTTTTTATCAGAAGTAAGGACAAAGCGATTTTACAAGAAAATCATTAAAACATCTCCATTTGATTGATGTTTTAACCTTAAATATGGCATGGTAGTTTCTCAAAATTGAGCGAAGTAAAAAAAAATGATCAAAATTCCACGTATTCGATGCAATTTTACAGTTCCGTAGCTGATATTTGCCAGAAACGTAAAATTAGGCCTTTGAAGGGGATATGATACACCTACAACTGTTCGTCACATTGAACCCATAGTTGGAGATTCGGCACGGTAGTCTCGATAAAATTGAAATGTTTCCAAAAGCTTTGAATTCAAAATTATTTTCCAAAAAGTTAGTGCCTAGTCGCTTTAGCATCCAAAATTGGCCGCACTACTTTTGCTTGAATTCCTTCAAAATTTGAAATTTAATTAGTTTCTAAAATACAATTTTTTTAGGGCCATAAATATTCCTTTCGAAAGTAGAGTATAACTGATTCTGCAGAGAAAATTCGAGCAAGCTGTTCTTTTAAGTGAATCCTTAGTCTCAGATTTGGCAGGATGGCTTTCGAGAAAAGTCAAGAGGTTTCCAAAAACGAGCAAAATTTAGAAGGCAATAAAATGGTGCATTTTCTAAGGCGACAATTTTTTTTTCAAAAAATAGGTCAGCACAGCTATTTTACAATAATTGCACCTTTTCTTGCGATTGAGCGCTTAATACCAGAGTTATCGGATTATTTTTTAAAGAAAAAAATCAGAAATTTCCAAAAAGCGGGCAAAACTTAAAACTTGGAAAAGTTGGACATTTACTTTGGCCAAAAGTTCAAAAATAGTCCAGCTGTCAAATTGTGAATTCGCTTGCCACAATTGCTAGAATCCGTTTACGCAAATAATATTCCCATAGCTTGCTTTTTGATTGCATCTAGATAACCTCAAATTTGGCACCGTAATTGTTGAGAAAATTAAAAACTTTCAAACACTCGTCTGAAATCTCAATACTGTTTTACAAACACAAGGGCGTAGCAAAAATGAGGGCATAAAAAATCACAGCTCCTTTTTTTCAATTGAAACGCAGATTTGCAGGGTAGTTTTCAGCAATCATTTTCGGTCAAAGTTTCAAAACAAAAAATTTTTTCAAATCAAGCTTAGTTTCTACAAAAACAGTTTATGCATGGTAGATCCCTAAAAGATGTTCTTTTGATTGAAGTGTCAATCTCAGATTTTGCAGGGTAACTTTTAAAAAATATTTTAAATATCCACGAAAAGGTCAAAATTTACTCCACTGAAAGCTTCATAGGCCTCCGGATACGGTAAAATAAGACCGGCAGAAAATACGGCACACAGGAGAATTGCCGGTTTATAGACCACTTTTTGGAAAAGAATGGTGCCATCAAAAACAGCATTCATATTTATGATTAAGGTTGTAAAAAAACTCGACTTGATTGAGACACTACGACGCTGTGCTTGAGTAAAAAAAGCGGCATAGTAACTTAATCTGAAAATCAAAAATACTGAAGATTATCAAGCTTTTCATCCATGCTTGACTAATAGAAGCCAGGGTGGCCGGTTTGAGACAAATGCCCTAAGCGCAAAACAAACCCAAGAACGGAATAAACAAAACCCGATTGGCAAAAACGGAATTATTTTACAGGCATTCAATTTGGGTTATGAGATGGGGTTAAAAAAGGGGGTTAAAAACGCGGGGTGATGAGCTTGGGAACCCATTGTTTAACCCCACGTTATTTAATTCTTATGTTTACACCCCCCTTTTTTATCACCCCGCAACAAGATATCCCCACAACAACTAGAACCCCTTTTAATACCGATGATTTGTTTCAAATAAAGACCTTTTATAGCCACAGTCAATAGCGGATTTAGGGGGGGGGGGACGCCCAACCGCACCTCAGGGATTCGACCACCTGCCGACCCAAAGGGTCCCCCTTTGTACTATTTTGAGATATCCATTTTTGGCTGACTGACTTTTAAATTTTTCTGAAGGCGCCTGGCCCCCCGTCGAGAAATTCCTAGATCCGCGCCTGGCCACAAAAGTATTCCAATTAAATGAACTGATTGAGGCCAGATAAGCAATTCTTCTTGATTCACTTATGCATTTAGTCACTCAAAAATGCGCATTTCGATTAGACAAAGAAATCATCCCTCATTCTCGCGTTTAAAAACACAAAACCTACCAAATAGACTAAACTGTACTAAAGAGTTTGTCTGGAAAAAAGTGAACTCGTATTATAACACAACCTACGATTGTAAAAACTTAATTGCCACTTAATAGCTTGTTTTAGTGAGAGGACGCATCTTGCCAGAAGAAAAACAGGAACAACAAATTGAGCCAGGCAAGTTCTCATAGTTTTGAAAATTTCGAGCAAATAGTTATACATCGATTGTTTCGCTGTTGCAGGAGAGCCCGCCCCCGCGATGCCCACTCCGGCCGAGATGCTGGAGCAGCCGAAACAAGTGAGGGCCAAGAAACCGTTGACCAAAGAGGAAATCATCAGGATACTAAGAGGTACCAGCTCTAGAGCAGTTATAGATGTGATATGGTGTAACCCTTTTTTTCTCTTCAGATTGCGTTTGATTTAAACCTGCCTACAGTCATGAATGCCTTCAATTTCATGGCTCAACTTAAAACGCCCTTTACTTAAAACCATTGAAAATCATATTACGCAATTATTTTCTCATCAAGCTAGCTTAACTTCGATCGTGTAATTCCATTTTGTTTCAGAGCTGGACAAATGTACTCTGCGTGAAGTGGTTCTAGAGAGCTGTTTCATGCCCACTCCTTGTGACATAGTCCACTGGCTACATGTAATGCCAGTCCATTGTTACGACGACTTTCTGGCAAAGGCCTGTCTCGAGCCATGTGGCGCTAGTGGAGACGCAGTTATCCACGCTCTGAACGCCAGGGCAGCTCACAATAGAGCAGTGAAGAACACTCGCTATCATGTTCACTATTGATACTCTACCCGGATTGCACATGCAAGTTCTTCCGACAAGCATGTCAAACTCTAGGCAATATCGTTTAAATTTCAAATCGGATGAAATCGAATAAATAACAAATCGGCGATATTTATAAAATTTAAAAAAAATCAAATTGAATCAACAAAAACGCGTTTTTAACTGATAACAGACGTCAAATTTAACGATATTTTCGAGAGTTAAGCCTTAGGTATGAAATATTTTGTGATCTACTGAACATCTTGTAGAAAAAGTGAAACGAGTATCTTTATTATATTTTGGTAATAATAATTTAATTTTAATAAAAAAATTGTACACCAGTTCAAGTTTTTAGAATAGTTCAGATGCAGTTTGCGAAATGCTCCACCACCAACATAGCGACAGTTTATTTGCAGAAAGGAGAAATTCTAAAGCAGACAAGGGATAAATATACAGATACCCATCACAAAGTGAAAACCCAGAAGATTCTTCTTCTATCAAGGACACTTCAAGGACGTTTAGCTCATTTGTTTATAGAAAGCTTCAATATAATGGCCAACAACAAACAATGAGTTACTAGAACCTGTACTGACCTTGGATATTTCTTCCGACATCTCAACTCTCTCCTCCCAACTAAGTGACATCTGCTCCACCAATCTCTCCGACTCCGCCAACTGGTCTCTCAGTGCATTGGCCAGTTCCCCATCACAAACGCCGCCCAACATGTCAAATATGCCTGACTCGTCTCTGGACGCACTGCCTGTTTCTGTGCCCAGATTTGACGAGTTCACACTTGGTTTCCGGTTTCGTCTCAGCGCCTCCGCCAGCTGGCGTCTCAGCTTTTCTACTTCTTCGCGTAACTCGCGAATGATCTAGGAAAAAAGCAAATTGGCTGATGTTTTGTTACGAATAATTATTTAAGTTTTCAGTGAAAGCCAGATTAGATTCTAGAAAAACACACCCCATCTAAATCAAATTAATGTTAAACTGAACCCTAACTGCTGATATTATACCAATAGATTCTACCCCCTGCCAACCCAAAGTGTCCCCCTTTGATTTATTTTGAGATATCAATTTTTGGCAAACTGACCTTAGAAGTTTTCTAAGGGCGCCAGTATATACTAATTATGAGGAGAAGCGCGCAAGATTGGCCTGTTTTTCCCTACGGGGCAGAAAACTTGGTCCAAATAAGGTCTTATCATGGTAACAGACAGCCGAGAGTCAGTTGGAAAAGTATCAATGAGCGCAAGGAAACTGGAAAAAAAAGTACTTGATGTTTCTATTAACTTCTAAGAACTTCAAACAGACTATCCCATTAAAGCTCTTAGATATTCAAGAAAAATTTATATTTGACATTTTTTGACAATACTCGCAAATTTAAAAAAGGCGGGATCAATTTTTTTTATTTAGCTTGGAAATCTGAAAATGTAAATCCACTTTCAAATCTAGAAAACGCTCACATTTTTTGTGACCTTTAAACTTTAGTGAAGGAAATGAAGACTTTCTACAGCTACAGAAAAAAATAATCATCACGACCTACAGACTTATTTCAAAAACCCTCAGATTAGTTCCGCTCTAAAGCATATCAATTAACCGTTTAAAGCATATCAATCAGCGCAGAAATGAGGACTTTGCACTTTTTGATCAATCTGAATAGCCTAAAACAGACCAGTATTTGACGTCAAAAATATACATTTTTTTGGATGATTTACAACCAATAGCGCTTTCTTATGATACCACACTTGGGTGCCGGACATCAAGCAGACGGGACTTCAAGCCGAATCGTAACATCAGGGACTTCAAGCCGAATAGTTGCTTATAAATGCGTGAAATATGATTAATTTGAAGAAAACTTTTTTGAAAAATTTCTGAATTTCATGATCTTTCTTTACTAGTTATTGGCGTTTTCAAAAATATTAAGCCACCAAATGATGTTTCGGAAAGTTAAAAAGTAAAACATGGTTGAAGACATTTTTCATGTTTATAATTTATGCATTTCAAAAACCGGCTGATGTTATTAACGGATACCAATCAGAAGTGGTGCATTGTCATGAACAACGCTTATTATGGACTAAACATGCCTAAATTTTTGAAAAGCAACGTTTTACAGATAAAAAAAATAGTGATTTGAGGTGCTTGGAAAATTTAAATTTCGGCCTGAAGTCCCTTCGGCTTGAAGTCCCGTCGGCTTGTTGTCCTAGACCCACCACACTTGACCCATATGAGGCGAGCTTTTCTAAAATTGGGTAAAAAAAAAACATCTTACACCATGTTCATCACAGTCCTTTGCAACTTATCTTATCTGGCATTTTGTTTTTACAAAGAAAACAAAATCATATAAGTCAATATCCCGTTTCTAGTTCCCCCTCCCAAAGTTTAAATCCACCATAAAAACAGCGACGAGGAATTTAGTGGTAAGCTCAATCGTTTATATGTGTGACTAGCACAATCTTTCTGTAGCTACTGACCCTGGCGTTCGGATCTTCATTGATGACAGCATTGTTTACTATCCTCTTCGCCCTGTCTGCGTAGCGCAGTGTAGAGAGGGACTCATCGTAGTTGTCAGCCGACGGACTGATCGTCGCTATCATCACTGTCTTGCTGTTCCCGCCCAAACTGTCCTACAAAAACCTCTATACCAAATCATAACGGATATCGCAAAAACTTCGACATTCTATTTCAGAACAAAAATCAAAAGCCTAGCTCACAGACAATTGAAAAAGCTAATTATCACGATATAATTTAGGGACCCAACTTTATCTCTCTTCGCAAACTTGACTCCATCTTTCGAACTTCAAAAACTAAATTAAATCACATTAAGCTGCGTCAAACTCGAATTCAAAAAATACTGAGAAATATAAAATTCATTTCAATCATCGAAATCCTTAAAAAACAGTGTTTTGAACCAATAAGATTGAGTTCTCACAAAAACGTTGCAAATAACATGAAACAAAAAAATATGTCAGTCAATTTTTTTATGAAAGAAAACGACTAAGGATTTAGGAATGTAAAAATACAAGCAAAACCCAAAGATAAAAAAACGGACCTGTCAAAAAACTTATGCAGCTAGAAATAGTTTTCGTTAATTTGTTTTGAAAGATAAACATCGCCAACAAACAGTTCGAAAAGTGTCAATGAACTCAAGTTAAGCAGCAAAAAAATCTTTGTTTAAACTGGTCGATATTCGAAAAAAAATCAGGAGTCGGTTGGAAAAATGTCAATAAACGCAAGGAAACAGAGAAAAATCCGAACTTGCTTTTTTCGAATATAAAGAAAGAAAAACTATGTGCTTGAAACTTCGAATTTCAAAAACCAATTTTGATAAAAATAAAACCAAAATGATTTAAACTGAATCAATATACTTTTTTTATTTCACTGAAAATCTGAAAGAAAAAACACTTTCAAAACTAGAACTCCATTACGTTTTTTGTAGGCTTTAAACGTTTGCTATTCGATAGTGGAGTTTGTCGCTCTTTTAACAAAGAAAACAATTTAAACTTGAAAATAGATCAAAAGTTGAGCCTCCAAAAATCAAATTAGAGCGTAATCAAACAAGATTTTGTTCTTGAAAAAAAGAGGAAAAATCAACACGAATATAAAAGTCTTCATGATCATTTTCATGATCAACTTTTGTTTCTTAAAACTAGCCCAGTTAAAAAAAAGAATTTTTAGGTAGCCTTGATAATCGGCTGAAAAAATCTAATAACTCAAATCCGACCTACAATAATTCACGTTGGTTTTTTGTGCTTTCAACGCTTTAATTGGGGAAGTAATTTTCTTTCCCATTAGCAGAAGAAATTGAACTCGACTTTTAAAAAAATGCTAGCTTCCAAATGGCATAAACAATTTTTTTCTCTCGAAAGGCACATTCCAAAACAGATGCAAAAAAGAAGGCGTGAAAAAATTAGACACAATGAGAAGACATTGTCAACAAATTACTAAAATTTAATCAATATTTAATTCATATTTATTCAAATTTGAATCAATATTTAATTCAAACAAAAAACAGATTTTTTTTTTTAAATGAGCCCAAATGATAATTTTAAGTGACGTTACAAATTATTTGATGACGGATACTTTTCTTAATAAATCGAAGCTACAACCAGTTTTTAAGTCTTTGTGCTGAATCTGAACGGGACTCCAGAATCATTTCAAATAATGAGATGAAAATGTTGTTAACTCATCGAAAGCATTGAAATGGATAATTTGTTTACTCATTCAACTTCACATGCTGATAAGCTCGACTATAATCACCATAGAGATCTCATTTTAAAAATTTACTTTCTTTCGAAAATTTCCCACAACCTGCTCGAGCCAGAGTTACGAAAATCTTGTAGTCAGAAACAGTGATACAAATCTCTCTCCTCAACTCAATCAGAAACGCAAGATCATGACTGTACAAGGAAAAAATTTTAAGTTAAAAATAGACAGTAGGGTATTGTTATTTCTTTATCGGGTGGCAATCAGAGAAACTCTTTCTGAGAAGTGTAGAGAAACTCTTTCTGATAGAACTTTTAAATCTTCACCAATTTTTGTTATCCAGTTTACGTTATTTTCGGAGTATTTGAAGAATCCAAAATTTAATTGATTTCGCGCATGCTTAAGGACAAAAGAACAGAAGTTTACCGACGCACGCTACAAATAAAATCAAGAGATATTCAAAAATAGATTCAACTCGAAATCAGTAATAACTGGGACTTCGAGCTAAGAATATTTTGATAACTTCTAACCTGTAAAATAATCATACTCTGAGACCACCATGCGACTTCCATCAGAGAAGTTTCTGGAGGATGTCTGTCCACATTAGTTACGAGGTAGAGAATTCCTGGACGTAGGACTCGCGAGGTAAATTCTACGGCCAGGCACTTTTCACTTAGGGACTATATTGGACAGGCATTCCCCAGAAACGTCTCACACATTACCCCTATGACGGTCTCAAAAACCACATTGACCACTCAGAGCCATATTTCAAAAGTCTTGTGTTTCAGGCTGCAATAGAAACAAACTTTCGATCAGCCAGAGTTAGAGGATGCTATTTTCACGTCTCCAAAGCAATTTTGTCATAAGCTTTCTACAAGTGTTTTGGTTCAGTCAAAAAATTTCACGAAACATCGCCAAGATCATGGTTTCACAATTTTACACATCGAAGCGTCTTTAAAAACAACTCCGAGAGAATCGGGTTGCAGCAATTTCCACAAAATATCTAAAATGTTCATGCCAGGCAGAACTTCCCGAGAATAACAAACGCATGTAAAAGCCAAAGCAATCGGCTGAATACACTAAAAACCAAAGCAATCGGCTGAAAATGAAATACATAGGCCACAGACAATTGAGAAAAATTCAATGAATGAAATTGAACAGAAAAAAAACTGATGTTTTTTTAAATAAAATCTCAAATTTCTCCAACGATATTGTCAAAAAAAACAGCTGCACTTTGAGCTCTTTGAATTTCTAGCAAAAATTATGACCGGCACTTTTTGATAAAATTAACCCAATTCGAGAAAACTGGATCAACCGATTTTTTATAGTTCGCCGTGAAATCTGAAATTTAAATTCTATTTTCGAAACCAGAAGAAGATCTAGTTTTTCGCAATTTCATAACTTTTCTTAATCGATGGTGGAGTTTGCCTACCTATTAACAAAGGAAAAAAGTGAACTTGAGAAAATCAAGTCAAACCTCAAAAAGTAAATTTGAGCTTGAAAAAATAACCTTCGCGAACTGTATAAGAGTCTGAACAACCAACCATTAGTAAATTGAAAAGTGGTGCTTTACACAGAGCGAAGCTGAGCTTCGCAAACACTAGCGAGAACACGAGCTTGATAAACTGGAAGAAAAGATTAAAAAAAAGCCTCGAATTAGTAAAAATTTAAAACCTTGCTACGTATGGGCTTCGAACCCGCAACCTCGAGAATTGAATGTTTAATAAAAAAATTACAAAATGAAGTACATAGCCTACAGAAAGTTGAGAAAGATTCAATGAACGCAATTGAACAGAAAAAAAAATGCCTCAAATTTCTCCATTCAAACAAACAGCTGCTCTAAGCTCTTTGAATTTCAACAAAAAAATATCACCGGCACTTTTTCGATAAAATAAACCCAATTTGAGAAAACATGATCAGTCATTTTTTCTAGTCCGCTGGGAAATCTGAAAATTAAATTCTCTTTTCGAAACTTAAAGACGATCTCGTTTTTCGTGACTTCATAACTTTCGCTAATTGATAGTGCATATTGCCTTCTTATTAACAAAGGAAAGAAATTGAACTTGAAAAAATCAAGTCAAACCCCAAAAAAGTAAATTTGAGGTTGAAAAAAAACCATCGCGAACTTTATCAGAGTCTGAACAACCAACCAATAGTAAACTGAAAAGTGGTGCTTTGCACAGAGGCGAAGCTGAGCTTCACAAACAAGCCAGAACACGACAAAAAAGCAGCTTTATAAAGTGAAAGAAAAGATACAATAAGCCTCGAATTAGTAAAACTTTGCTACGTATGGTCTTCGAAATTGCAACTTCGTTGAGTCGCACGAACCGCCCCCTCGGCCAAGAACACTTAACAAACGGCATACAATGGTCACAAACAAAGCAGCTACATATGCTAACAAACTGCCAAGGCGATGCAGCAAAAGTGGTACCAAATACAAATAGACCCAATTTTTCAAGTAGTAGTTTTGAATATAACAAACTTATGGCATCCACACTAATTTTGATTGTAATAAACTGGAAAGCATTAAGCCGCTTTATGTATTAATTCCGCATTTCAAAAAATTGCTCCATATTGACTAAGAAAAATTTTTCGGTTGATTTGATGAAATTAAAATGCATCAACTGTCTTATATTTTACTATTCGAATGCCAAAGCACATGATATCAAAAAGCCGTAAAGGTGCCCCAAAAGTAGCACTTAGGTTAGAAAAAAGAATAGACATAGTAAAACTCTAACGCTCACTTAAGTTCGCTAGTGGAATAACAATTCCAAATAAGGCACAGTTCACAAAAAATTAGACAGACACTAAGTGAAAACCGAAAAACTTTCCACAGAAAAAACATAGCCAATCGAAGATTCGAAAAAAGTAATGAACGCAAGTAAACATAAAAAACACTGACTGTCTGAAAAAGTTCTCACCTTTCGAATTTCACATAAAAAATAGATGCCCTTTAAGTTATTTGAATTTCTAGAACAATATATGATTGGCGCTTTTTTATAACATGAACCCAACTAGAGAAAACTGGATCAATAGGGAAAATTTTTATTCCGCTGGAAACCTTTAAAATAAATTCCACTTTCGAAACTAGAAATCTTTCACGTTTTTTTTTGCGCCATTTCCACGTTCGTTTTTAGAGAGTGCTCTTTACGTCACTTTCAGCAGATGAATTTCACTTGATCCCAAAAAGTGCATATATACTTACGTGCATTAATAAATGCTTCAATACGTATAAAAGCATATCTGTAGTTATTAGACTTTTAAGACTTTTCCTGAACAAAAAAAAATCAGCAAGACCTATAAAAGTCTTCACTACGTTCATTACTCTTAAACATGCTAAACATGCACAGGTTACATAATTCAGCTAACACTCACTTTAAGTAGCCAAGTGAGGGTCGAGTCTCTGTAGGGAACAAAAACCGGCTTTTTCCTTCCCTGATTGGCTGCCTGTTCCGCCAGGGCTGAGATGACCAATCCAAGAGTTGTCAGAGATCTATAATATAATTCAGAAATCTAGACAATCGAGCTTCAGAAGCGATGTGAGTATTTCTTCGACTAGTATGAAGAATATGTTTTACTTGTTGATATTGCTGCCCTCTTTCAATCTGTCGCCAGCTGCTCCTGTTTTCGTAGCTCTTTCTGAACCAGCCAAGTCTACGAGACTTATTCTACTCGCCTTCTCTCCGGTCATCTGAAAATGTGCAGTTTTCATTCCTATGGGACAATCAAAGAAAAAAGAGCCTATGTACAAGCTTTCACAATTGATTCGAAAGAGTGTTCATGCAATGACAATAACAAAATCCATTCCAAAAAAAACTATTTTTAACATTTGCAGCGGCTATAACAATTGCGCACATATTTAACTTAATTTTACCGTGAGCTGCTAAACATTAAGACATTTCACGGTTCTCTTGTTTTCTGAAAACTACCAACTTTACCTGTTTATTTGTGATCTGTTGTGACAGGAATATAGTGAACACCGCGTGTGACCGGGAGCTCTCCGAGTTCATGTTGGTGGCAGCCACTGTTCTTGACCTGTTGCCGACCTCAATCAGATCATAGATATCCTCACTCGAAGTGACTGCTAATTTTGACAGTCCATCTACATACGGTCCAAGAATCTTGTGCTCTCTCACTTTTAGATTGGATTTCCTGTTGCAGATATATAATCATCATTATCTCTTATCAAACTTTTGTGAAGCAAAACTTCTTTCAAAGTTTCAAAGCGTTTTCAAAGTAGTATTTCGTACATATCGTGAAACCGGGTGCGTACTGTAAACTGATGTGTCAGTCAATTACCAGATCAGTAAAACGATTTACATAATAAATTACATCAATTGCGGAATTAAGGATTAAAAGAGTAAATTTTCCGTGAGCTAGAACAATATTTTAGGGGTTCGAGGCTCATGGGAAGAACTATTTTATTTCATTTTTTGATTCCAATCTAGTTTTGATGAAAAAACTTGTCATTTTGTAAAAATCTCAGTTTTTAGCTAATGTGATTACGCAATTGAATCATTAATTTTCGGTTTACTGCTCTGGTACGACCGTTCTCGGTTACTGATACATCGATTTACTGACTTACAACCCGTGAAACCCTCTACTGAAGCATTAAATTCACTCTCTTTCAAAGCCGCAACAGAAGATGACCATAGAAGAACATCAGACGGTGAAAATTTTCGCCAAAAATCAACAAGAAGTTAAATCGAACTCCTTCCTCTTTCACCGTACTCTAATTTTTTTTAAAAAGTATACCATACCCGCTCCGTGGATCCAGCAGATCATGCACTTTTTCATTGTATATCTCCATATAGGACATCTCCACCTTAAACTGCAGACAGTCGTTAGAGTTACAGCATATCTTAGAGAACAGTTCGTGGCACAATCTCGGAATAATGCCTAAGTCAGCCGAATGGGATCCCATCATAGTGTAACTTTTTCCAGAGCCTGAAAACAGATTTTAGAGCTTAGAAACATCATCTTCATCGCCTCGACTATCATTCATGTCACTATTTTTAGTAAATAAACATAGCTAACAGACAGTTGGAAAAGAGTCAAGAAACGCAAGAAGACAAAAAAAACTTTTGAAGTTCAAAGTAACAAATATATGGCCTTACTGGATCAATAGATAAAGGTTTTATTCCGCTGGGAAATCTGAAATTTTAAATCCTAAACATGCAACTTTTTTAACATTCCTGCATATACTGCAAAACTTCTAAACTTACTGCAACTTAAATTTAAAAGCCTCGTAAACGTTGATAGAAGGATGAAGTTCGCTAACGCACTTTCCATCTCTGACTTAAATGTTTTCAGTCTTTGCAAAACCTGGCTAACGACAATAGATACTCATTTGAACTCTTACTAAACGAGTTCAACATTTACAGAAGCAATAGATTAATGAACAGCGAAAAGAACCCTCATGTGGGCAGCCTATTTGGACCAAAAGAATATTCTTATCAGAACAACTCGTCACATCTTTTCCAGCCAAGTCTAGCTTGCAAAATCATTCTAAATCAAACCGAAGTCACATTATATGCTTTCTATAATCCTCCCACACAAGGTGCACATCGATCCTCTAATTGGAATAATTCTTTAGGAACATGCCCAAGTCTAAACCGGTAACCACCCGAGGAGATTTAAATTTCCCGGAGTCAAACTGAAAAACATTGACCAGTCAACATGAAGAGGAAAACGCAATAACAAGAGGAAAACAAGAGGAAAACGCAATAATTAAGCTCATGGAGGACAAATTTTTCAGGTAAATTATCGATATCCCGACATGCTATCATAACACTCTTAATGTAGCTTTCAACAAGAATTGTACATTAAATGCTGAAAAACATGCAAAAGCTGCAAGTGTCTTTGACTGCGCAGATCACGATGCTATCCACTTATCGCTTGAGTGCTTGGTAACTGAAAATTCTCAAACCCTACAAACATTCAAACGTTGTGGAATTGAGGATTATGTTAACATAAACGTGCAACTCTGGTCATCTCTGTTCGAAGCAGTATACTACACAACTATAAACAAAAGGTGTAACGCATATAACGAATATTTAGACCAAGTTATTCAACTTCATAAGAAAAAAAACAATACACAGGCAAAAGTTTCCGCCTTCGATTATAGGATAACTTCCAATTAGATGAACAAACAACATACTGAATGGAACCTGTTGAAAACGAAACCGACAAACAACAGAAAGCAAAAAGTTATCAAATGGGAAAAGTTGGTTACTAAATCTTCTGAGCAAGATAGGAAGGAATAGATGCTTTTCGCCTCAAGAAATACAAAAAAAGACTTTCAAGCATTTGAAAAAACTATAAAATCACCAAATTTATCAATCGAAAAGGGCAATACTCAAAAAACATGCTCAAATGAACAAAGCAACATGCTCCACGAAAACTTCGACTCAGTTCACTCAACTAAGCAACCGTTTAGTATACCGAATTGAAAAAGGAAAATCCATCACTGACAAAATTTGACTCCTCAAAACATACCATCCACACAATTGTATCCTCACTGGACATCACAAAGGCTCGTGTTTCAAATTGACTACCACCAACACTTAATCAAAAAACCTCCCGAAATATCTTTGACACTGTGAAATTTCTGTCTCCAAAAACACTGTGAGACTTCGCAAAATACGGGATGCCTGAACAATTGCATCAATAGCACCAAATCACAAAATTTTCTAAAAGGGGTTTGTCAAAGTACTTCACCTCGAATTGATCAAGATAATCTTGAAGATAATTCGAAAAACACTTAAACAAACTGCTTAGTGTTTTCAAATTATCTTCAATTGGATAAACAAGCTCTAAAGTACTCGATATGACTAGCAGTGTACCTAAGGATCTCATCCTAGGCCCTCTACTGTTTTGCATTTTCATGAATGACCTACCCGACGTAGTAGTTCTTTATGATCCTTTTATTTTTGCTGACGATCTTAAAATTTTAGCTGTAAACAAAATAGAATGGCAAGTGCAGGAAGATCTAAATGAAATAGAACTGTGTTAACCTAAAAAATGGAACTAGCAATGGACCAATGTGCCAAAATGAAATCTAGAGAAAAGACCCCAGCAAATTAATAGGCGCGAAACTAAACTAAAGTTCAAACAAGTGAAGACCTGTCTTAGAAAAAAAAACATTTTAAAAACGTTTGAGAAGAGCTAATAAGTCCTCTGATTGGTCAGACGAAATGAAGCAATGGATTTTATACTCAATGTCAAACTCGGTCTTCACAAATCACTAAAACTATCAGTCTTTTTTGCGGTTTTCATGCGTATCTGCGTCGAGAACAAAAATCCATCTTGTTGAACGTTTTTCAAAGAAATCGCTCAAATAGATAACAGTATAAGAAGAAGTTAAAGATATCAATCAATTGCAAATCCTCAGTATTCTTCCATTAACAATGTTTACCCAAAAGAACGATATCTTGCTCATTTCAAAACCAATAATTGAAGGAAGCAATTGTATCAGATTACCCAATAAACAATTTTTAGATCGAAGAATGAACACAGAGACAAAGCTTCGCTTCGCAATAACTTGCGAGAATACGAAAGTGCAATAATAAAAATTAGAAATAAGCCTCAAAAAAATTAGAAAAAAAACAAAAGTCAAACCGCAAAAAAATTATTAATCTGAATAAATTTGAGCAAAGCAATTTTAAGCACTTTCCTTTAAAATAATAATGACTTTTAAAAGAAGCTTAACTACATACATCGACTCTTCGGCAATAGCTCATGACAGATAATCATCTTTCAAAGTAAATTTTAAAAATTCTATGATAATACCAACCGGTTTGTCCGTATGCAAATATGCATGCATTGTACCCTTGGAATGCGTTCTCCAAGAGATCCAGTCCAAGATCTTCGAACATTGTCGCTTGATCTGAAATGACCTCCCCGCTATGACATTTCATTTTTGACGCTTAATTAATTAATCACAATTTACTCACCGCTGTAGTTGGTAGAGAGTGGGTCTATTGAATCGAAACAACTGTCGAAGAAAAATCTCTGAAACAGATTCAGAAATTTTTAGTAACAATTACCAATTTCAATTGGTGAAAGGTACCAGCAAAGGCAAATACAACCTGCACCAGGAGAAAATAAGCAAACAGTATTTTCGCCCGTTGTAAACAAACTTACTTACTTTGGTGCTTTTCCTTAAATATCAGGTTAGATCAAATATAATTGAATCAGAATGAACATGACCAGCCAACAAACAAATAGAAAAGTATCGATAAACTCAATAAAACCAAAAAAACTGACTGACTCTTTTTTTGAACATTTTTCAACTTTCAAAATTCAAAATAAATACATCCTAATAAAGCTCTTCGAACTTCAAGAATTTTTCATACTTAAAGTTTTTTTTACAAAAACAATCAATTAGAGAAAACGTGGAATCCAATTAGAGAAAACGTGGAATCCTACTAGAGAATACGTGGAATCTAATTAGAGAAAACGTGGAATCCAATTAGAGAAAACGTGGAATCCTACTAGAGAATACGTGGAATCTAATTAGAGAAAACGTGGAATCCAATTAGAGAAAATAAGAGTCTTAATAGTGGACGGAATGAATTTTAACATAAAGAAAAAATCGTAAGACAAACAGCGGAAGATATTTGAAGGTGAACAAATTCAAAGGATTTTTTCCTTAACAACCAAAAACAGGGCTTACTTAAAGGTTTCACTTCTTTCATTGACATTAAACAAGGTGTTATCAAACCCGGTAGAAACAAATAACATAAAATAAATTGGACTCACCGGTCATTTTTGTCTCTATTATTTACATTTGGAGCCAATAACATAGTACAATTTCCGTCCATTTTGACCACGCATTCCGTCTCCAACTCAATTTCTAAACAACAATATTCAGAAAATTTTGATTTATAGTTAAAACTTCTCGCACTATTCATTTCTTTCCGTTATTCGCTTTTCTGAATCTTAAACTAAAGCTTCAAACATCTATGATGCAACTAATAACATCTTTACAGCTTTATTGCCTCAAACAAAACAAAATAATTTAATTTTCGGAGAGTTGTAGAAGTATCATTCATTTCCAATGCCTCACAATCGACAGGCCAGATCAGCGGTGCGCTGCCTTGAAAACGGTAAACGTAAGGGGAAGCAAACCTCGTTTGTTGAATGGACGCACCCGAACAGCCACCTTCACTTTGCTGGACGAGCCTCCAGATGCAGACGACGTCATCATTAATCCATCTGAAAGAAGACAGTTGATAGTCCCGGCAGATAAAATGCACTATACGCATTTGCGCTAACTATCAACTTTTATTAATGACTGTAAAAACGAGGATTTGATTGCAAACAAAAGACTTTAAATTAAGCACCATAATTTAAACATACAGACAACATCAGTCATACATTCTGACAAATTTGCAAGGTAAGATAAACAACAGGCCATATGGTTTGAAATCTCGAGCGAAATGAAGAAACATTTCTTGTTTATCGACTATCACTTCTACTTCTACGCGCTTTTCTAGCTGAAGATTTAGAGCTCGATCGGTTTTTGAACTCTCGCGAAAGAGCTCGTTTTCGAATTCTAGAATCCGATCTTCGTCTACTTCTGCTTCTTCTCGGTCGACTTCGGGTCCTTTTTTCATGTTTCTTGTATACCGATTCTCTTTTATACGCCTCAGGTGTTCTTCTGTTTCGCCCTTCATCTTTCCGCCTCTCGTGGCTTCTTCCACGACTCGAACTCGATTTCCTTTTTCGGCTGGGTGAAGGTGAAGCTGAGATAGAGGATGAATATCGTTTTCTCCTCCCAGATCTACTTCTAACTCTAGATAGTTTTCTATCGTTAACTTTTTTATCGCCTTTCTTTGTTTTTGGAAATCTGAAAGACCATGTGCTTTGCTCAGAAACTCAATTATAATTCCAATGACGCAATTGAACGCTCTAACAGTTCACAAGAAAACAATTCAACTGGAACATATGACCACAACTGTTCAAAACTAATGACATTTATTCAACTTATGATGATATCGCGGAACGAAAGTCACCAAGTGAGAAGATTTGACAAAATTGAGATAGAAATCGATAATTTATTGGTAAAAATTCAAAATATGCAAATCAACTAAAACATAGCCAATCGAAGATTGAAAACGAGTAATGAACGCAAGTAAACATAAAAAAAACACTTTCTTGAAAAATTCTCAGCTTTCGAATTTCAAAGAAAAAACAGATGCCATATAAGTTCTTTGAATTTCTAGAACAATATATCAATATATGATTGGCGCTTTTTTATAAGATGAACCCAACTAGAGAAAACTGGATCAATAAGTAAAGTTTTTATTCCGCTGGAAATCTAGAAATCAAATTCCACTTTCAAAACTAGAAATCGTTCACGTTTTTGCGGCAATTCCACGTTCGTATTTGTAGAGTGCTATTTACGTCACTTTCAGCTGATGAATTTTAATTGAACTCAAAAAAATAGTGCATATATACCTAAGTGCATGCATAAATGCATCGATATGTATGAAAGGTTCAAGAAAAAACCTTCAGAGGAAAATTCTAGTTTTTCTGAAACTCGGTTGAAATAGGAATAAATTAAGATGAACACAAAACCACTCTTGAACGTTGCACTTTGAAAACACAACAAAAAACGGAAAAGGGAGTTTAAGTAAAAATTCGAGAAAAGGTTTAAAAAAAATAAGCTTCGAGCAAACAGAGCCAACAGTCAGTTGAAAAGGATCAATAAACGCAAGGAAACAGAAAATTGTTTTAAGAAAAAAACTTTAGCTTTCAAACTTAAAAATAAAAAACATATGGCCTTGAAGCTCCTCGAACAATTGACGATTGGAACTTCTTCGATAAAATCAACTGGTTCAATAGATGAAGTTTTTATTTCAATGGGCAATCTGAAAAACTAAAATTCAATATTAGTATTTAAGTCGATTGAAGTTTTCGTGGCCTTTACATTTTTGCTGTTCGATAGAGGAGTTTGCCTTTTAACAAAAAAAATGAAAGGAACTTAAAACAATCAGAAGTTAAACGGTAAAAAAAATCAAACTTGAGCGTAAAATATAGCCAACAGACAGTTGGCAAAACGTCAATGGACGCAAAGAAACAAAAAAAATTGACTTTCGAATTTCAAAGCTAAATATATGGCCTTAAAGCTCTTTGAATTTCAAGAACAGTTTTTGATTGGATCTTTTTTGATTGAGAAAACTTGGGAGTGTTAGGTAAAGTTTTGAGGTCGAAATATTTAAATCCTTTTTCACTCCTGAAATTTGAAATTAAATTCCAGTTTTGAAGAAATTAGAAATCGATCACATGTTTTCGCGCCATTTCCTCTATCATAATTATAGAGAGAGAGAGAAAGGGGAGAGAGAGAGAGAGAGAGAAAGGAGAGAGAGAGAGGAGAGAGAGAGAGAGGAGAGAGCGAGAGAAAGGAGAGAGAGAGGAGAGAGAGAGAGAGAGAGAGAGAGAAAAGAGAGGAGAGAGAGAGAGAGAGAGAGAGAGAGAGAGATAGAGAGCTTTACCTACCTTTAAGCCAAGGAACTTGAATTGAAATTCAAAAGTTAACATATACCTAAGGGCATTCATATATGCAATAATATATTTGAGAGCACTTTCCGTAGTTATAAAAACATTTTGAGACTTTCCCAAAAAAAACGAAAAAAAAATCATCACGACCTATATAAGAGTGAAATACGTTCTTCGACTCAAAAAATGTGCAACTAAGGTAGGAAAACAGTTTTATTTCTTAGAAAAGTCTTTAACTAGGGTAAAGTTCAGTTAACGAGAAAAGAGCAAGTTTGACACAGAGGCGAAGCTGCGCTTCGCAAACACTAGCAAAAACACGACGAAAAGCAGCTCTAGAGTTCTAAAACTTGCAATAAGAAAATGTAAAAATATGCCTCGAATTAGTTTAAATTCAGCGACGTCTCGGAATCGAACCTACGACCTAGAAATTGTGAGTCTCACGCATACCACTCAGCTACAGACGCTTAGTCCATCACAAACACTAGCCAAAAACACAGACGAGAACAGATGCTATGTTATTTCAACTGCTAAAGATCCTGATTATAGCAAAAAAGTCACACAAGTGAACACTTTTAGTGAACACTTTTATTTGCGAGTTAGCTTAGAAAAAAGGATGTTCGTACCAAAACACTAGCTGCTCGCTAGCGTAAGGGTATAGCACGATCGAGACTAGGAAAATTATCGAGGCCACCTCAATGATGTTCAAACACGTTTGTTTCAAATTACGGACTAAAAATAATTAAATGAAAAGCCAGCTAGCTCGTTTAAAAATGTTAGATGAAGCTGAAAATGAAAAGATTTTAAGGTGAAATTAAATTGACAAATATTCTAACCTTTTTAATCCGGCATCAGAATCTGAGGAGTCACTTATTGGCACGATCTCCAGTTTGGTTTTTCTGTCAATCGCTGCTCTTTTCGCATTTTTTCGGTCAGAGTCACCGCCATTTGTCTTTGCAATCTGAATGCTATCTGAGTTTTTCTTCCGCTGATCACACGAGATGCTCCGATCCTCGGAGCTTTCGGGTAGTTTAGATCTCGTATATAGATTCTGAGTTCTTTCTTTGCTAACTGATTTGGACAATCTTTCTCGCTGTTTCTTGTTGCTCCTCTTACTACTATTCGAGCGCGACCTGCTTGTTCTTTTAAACTTGACCTCGGGCGACGAATAACCATTCCTATAAAAGACTAGTTAGTAAGTGCAAATTTTTAGTAGACAGATTGATTGATTTACTAGATTCAGATAATGCACCTTTTTTCTATCGGCTCCGCTGTGGACAATGGCGACCGATCAGGAGTACACATTGTTACAACTGGTGACCGATCCTCACTGTCAATTTTGGATTTCGTTGAGGGAAACTTGCCTTCTCTTATGGTCGCCCTCGTTTTCAAAGATAATTTCTTCGAAGACAAACTGTTATTTGACACACGCCTCCTTTCATCATCATCAAGTGTATCACGTTTACTCTTCTTTGGATGAACCGGGCAAGATTCTTTGTTAGCATTAGAGCTCTTTTCACTTTCGTTCTTTACACTATTTGACATTAAAGAACTACTTGAGGAGTCCCTCTGTTTCCTGAGTCGATTCTCATTGAATCGTTTTTTATCTGAGCTTTTCGGAACCGGTGACTTTCCATTTCTTTTCTCATTAGAAGACCTTCTTTTGTCTTCTTTTGGGCTTTCACCAGAGATATGAGATCTTTCTTTGCTTCTGCTTTTTTTGCCTGAAGATCCCCTGTCTTTCGACTTCCGCTTACTCCGATCTCTGGATCTACTAGTCAACCGATTGTCGTTTTCTTCTTTTGCATTATTTTCACAATTTTTATTCAGCTCTTCGCTGCTTTTCTCTTTTTGTGCATTCTTTTCACTGCGGCGCTCCTTCTTTTTCTTTTTCCTAAAATACAATGAACTGTTCTGTTCCTTTCCATGATAAGTCTTTTAAAAAAACGGCAATTCAAACAATTAGCATGTTTATTTTAACTAAAATAATTACTTAAGGTTCTGCTTTTCTTTATTAAGCCATTTCTGAATCTGCTTGGCAGTGACCGATGTCTCCACACTCGACATGCGATCAGCAATCATTTTCTCTGGTGACAAAGATTCTCTACAAGGGGTTGTTGATAATTCCGTTTGCTCCTTTGTGTTGTCTCTTTTATCCAGCAGCGATTGTTTGGTATTGGCTAACTCCTTGAGAAGAGAATTAATCAATTGCACTACATCAGCTGAAGCTCCTGCGAACTGTTCTTGGGCTTCTCGGTATAACTTCTCCGATTTTAAAAAGTTTTCACGAATTTTCTCCCTAAATACCAAATAAGTCTATAAGTATCACCTTCAGAAGCCAATCCAAGCTACACGTAATGTCCAGGAGTTTTGAATTACTTGCCGTTTGGCATATCCGAGGTATGCTTCTAGAAGGTATTTGTTGGCATTTCTGTGCTGAGGTTTGAGAGTAAGCGCTTGTTTGAAATCTGTTATTGCATCTGGAAACACTTCTAGCTTTGTGTGCCTTAAAAGTGGAACACTAAGCTTGAAAAATTATTCAGATTTAGCTGATACTTAAAAAGTTTTCCGTTTGCTTGTATTTAAATGTGGATACAATTATAAGTTTCATCGGATTAACTTACAAAGCTCCCCTGGCGACGAGTCCCTCTACGCACTTAGGATCCACATCCAGGGCAATGTTGAAGTGTTGCATTGCTTCCACGTGACGATCTTGTTTGAAACAGTCTACACCTTTGCCTACACTACAAATAGCTGAGGAATTAATTTGGATCAGCAACTGAATCGATAAAAAATTGAATTTATTTACTGCTTTGATGATCTCATCAGTGAAATAGTTAACTACCACTTACCTTTTCAAGGCCCTGCTATTGTTTTGATTCCTCCTGAGCGTCTCTGCGTTTTCCACGACCGTAGAACTACTACTACTTGTAATCTCCTTACTGGGAGACGACCTTCAAACATTTTGGACAAAATTGGGTAGACTAACTGAACAGACATTCCAGCCTCATTAGAAGAGGCGAGTAAGCCAAGTAAGCGGACACTTGCCTGCTTCCTCCTCCAACTACACACAACGACCCCAGCTGACCCCACAGAGACGAATTGACCTTGACCTCGTCTGGACAGTTGAGAAGGGAGGGGCTCGAGAGGATAGAGCTAACACATTTGGGGTTACAAAAACCCACAATTTTGTGTAGGAAAGAGTCATAAGAAACCGGTACACTCTTTTCCAAAATTGTTGTACGCCTGCAAAAATAGAACTTATCAAATATCTTCAAAAGCTGGTAGCGCAAATAGGGATAAATGAAACTTTGGCGTGTTTACTTGTAATAAGGCGCCAATGAATCGAAGTAAAGACCATTCTGTGAAGACGAAATTCCACCGAAGTTTTCGTCCTAGAGCGAAAAAAAAAAACAAAATTGCTAAACTCATTTAATAATATCGATTTTAAGAGTGCATTATCCGCCAGCTAGGCTATAGAGCGCAAAATTCACCACATCACTGCTTTAAATAGTAAGTGACAGCTAAAATATCCAGGAATTTCACTCAAGGAAAGAAAATTTAGGCCAAAGAAGTAGCTCCCTGCTTATTGCAACATGTGGCCACAATTCAAACATAATGAAAATGGAGCCACGATCCTAATTCAGACTAATTCCTGCTAACTTTTTCCAAAATACGCGCAATTATTGAATTAAATATCGCAAGTCACGCTGGTGAATTCTACCAAGCTTAATGGTTGAGTAAAACATCAAAAATGTTTATATTAAAATTCAACGCGTGCGTGTGCTCTGCTGTAACATAAATCCCCTTTTTTGAATGCGGAAGGGGAATGGTTTCTAAATCCAACAAGACTGCTCGTATCAGGGCGAAACCCTGAATGTTCCGACTGCCTTTTAAGGTCTATGGAGCAGTAATAACATGAAAAATTTAAAAGTAATAAAATAAAATTAAACTTAAAAAAATGAGATTATTATTGTTCCGACTTTCGTAACGAAAGTAGCGGAATATTTGTGCTCGGGGTGAGTTTTTTTTCTTCAGACAAATTTCGACTTTTTAACTGGCCATTTTTGACGGAAATTTTTTATATCACTCAAAAAGTATTGTTGTCTTGAACTTAATACTGAAACGATATTTCACCTGTGATCGCTTTTCGTAAAGTTATGTTAGTTTAAAGATTGCCATTTTGGGAAATTTGGGACAATTAACGCTCAATATATTTCGCGCTGTTGACTCGTAAGCGGAGATTTAATCTAATCCATCTTACATAAAAAGTAATACATAAAAAAATTAAATGAAATAAAATAAAATGAAAAATTTTTTCTAAAATTTGAATTTTTTTTAATGAAAATCATCCCCCACACGCCATATAAAGTACAAAAGGATAGATTTTGCTCCTTATAACAAATCAATTATGGCAACCATGCTTCTTTCAACCAATTTGGAACGATTTCTAAGACGGATTAACTCTCCGCTTAAGCGTTAATAGCGCGAAATATATCGCGCGTTAATTGTCCCAAATTGGCCAAAACTTCAGAAAAATGATCACAGGCAGGGGCGGATTTAGGGAGGGGGGGGGGGGGGGGGGGCGGACGTCCCCCCCCCTTAGGGATTCGACCCCCTGTCGACCCAAAGGGTCCCCCTTTGATACTTTTTCAGAAATCCATTGTTGGCCGACCGACCCTTAAACTTTGATGGGGAGCGCGCGCCAAAAAAACGCAATTTTTTTGTCTAAATTTTTCAAAAAGTGCCCAACAACGGCTTTTGTGACAGTTTTTTCAAAAAATTTGCCTGCGGCGCAGATAATTTATCCAAAATAGGGGCAAAACAGTGCTTTGGGAGAGCTCGAAAACGAAAAATCATTTTGGTCGACCTAAAAAAAAAAAAGGTCGTCAAAATCCGCCCCCCCTTCGAGAAAATCCTAGATCCGCCCCTGATCACAGGTGAAATATCTTTTCAAATTTGAGCTCAGGACAAGAATACCTTTCGAATGATAAAAAAAATTGCGTCAAAAATGGCTAGTTAAAAAGTCGAAATTTGTCTGAAGAAAAAAAAACCCACCCCGAGCACAAATATTCCGTTACTTTCGCATCGAAAGTCGGAACAATAATAACAAAAATATTAAATACTTGCATTGATATCTGGGTTAAAAATCTGTTTGAAATCAGCCACAATTGCAAACTCGGAAGAAGGGCTCAAATCTGTTATGATTTCGACGGTTGAAATTTTCCAGATCTGATCTTTGGCTATATCCACGCTTTTCCGACTGGGCAAAGAAGTCTTTTGACACAGCACCTAAAGTAGAGCATACAGTTTGAGCATCATTTGTAAAAGCAAAGAAGCTTGTAAAAGAGGTTTATAAAAGCATCAAAAGCTTTTACAAACCTCTTTGTAAAAGCATCTAGGTTTGTTAAAGCATCAAAAACTAACAGACTCAAAAATCACGTCTATTCTGTACTGAATTAAATATCTTATAAGAATTTATCAGACAATTTCCATGTACTTAACATTATGCCCAGATCACACACAAATCGACAGAGGTGAGTAGCTGCACTGTCTTGCTTGGAATCTAGTGCAAACGATGGATCAGTGTCATCGCTGTAAAGAAGGTTCAGCAACACTCCAGTATAGACTCCACACTTGCTCACGAAATGTAGACTGTGCACTTTGCCAACCAATAACTGGCCCACTTTGAGACACTAAAAATGCTACGATATGAAAAAAAACACACGTTTAAAAGAAATTGATGAGAAAATATTTCAATTATTTGAATCTGATGTGACATAGATTAAACTTTAGAACTTATTCTCAATTTTACAACACCAGCTAATCGCCGCTGTAAAAATATCTATATGTCAGAGTTCTATTCGGGATCCACGCCATTGTTCTCTATTCTGAACTATAATGTCATTTAAGATTACCTGGATTACAGGGTAAACACAGAGGCGAAGCTGCGCTTCGCAAACACGACCAATAAGCAGCTCTCGAAAAAGCTATAAAAAGTAGAAATAAGCCTCGAATTAGCAAAAACTCGGCTAGGTCTACGATTCGATCTGCGACCTACTGTAATCAAGAGACTTTGAGTCTCACGCACTATCAACTCAAGCTTAACAACCGCCAAATAGTCACGAATAAAGCAGCTAAATATGCTAATAAATTGCAAATGCCATTCAGCAAAAGTGGCACCAAATGCAAATAGACTCAATTTTGCAAGTAATAACTTGGATTATAACACACTGAAGGCATCCACACTTACTTTTTTTGTAACAAATCTCAAAGCATAAGGCCACATTATGTAAAAATTATGCATTTCAACAAATTGCAAGATAAATTGAGTAAGAAATTTTTTGAAATTGAGTTTTCATGATTGTTATGTGGATTGAAACAGATCACTTTTTTCGGTTCATTTGATAAATAAAAATGCATTAACTGTGTTAACTTAACTGTGAAAACACTAGTCACGAATAAAGCAGCTACATATGCTAATCAATTGCCAATCCAATTCAGCAAAAATGGAACCAAATACAAAAAGACTCAATTTTGCATGTAATAATTTGGAATGGAACAAACTGACATCCACACTAACTTTGCATGTAACAAATCCCAAAGCATAAAGCCACATTATGTAAAAACTATACTTTTCAACAAATTGCAAGATAAATTGAGTTAGAAAATTTTTAATCGAGTTTTCATTATTGTTATGTCGATTGAAACAAATAACTTTTTCCGGTTCATTTGATGAAGAAAAATTCAATAACTGTGTTAACATAACTGTGAAAACACTAGTCACGAATGAAGCAGCTACATTTGCTAGTTAATTGCCAATGCAATTCAGCAAAAATGGAACCAAATACAAATAGACTAAATTTCGCATGTAATAATTTGGAATGCAACAAACTGACATCCGCACTAACTTTGCATGTAACAACATTTCAACAAATTGCAAGATAAATTGAGTTAGAAAATTTTTAATCGAGTTTTCATTATTGTTATGTCGATTGAAACAAATAACTTTTTCCGGTTCATTTGATGAAGAACAATTCAATAACTGTGTAAACATAACTGTGAAAACACTAGTCCCGAATAAAGCAGCTACATATGCTAGTTAATTGCCAATGCGATTCAGCAAAAACGGAACCAAATACAAATAGACTCAAATTTGCAAATAATTACTTGATTATAACACACTGAAGGCATGGTACAAATTTTGCATGGTACAAATCACAAGCAAGCATAAAGCCACATTATGTAAAAATCATGCGTTTCAAAAAATTTAACGATAAATTGAGTTAGAAAAATTTTGAAATCGAGTTTTCATGATTGTTAAGTGGACTGAAACAAATCACTTCTTCCGGTTCATTTGATGAATAAAAATGCATTAACTGTGTTAACTTATTGCTTTTCGAATGTCACAGCCCGAGCTATGAAAAACTGTAAAGGTTCCCAAAAGTGGCACCAATATTTGTGACTTACCTTGGAAAAAAAAGAAGGTTCGTACTTATTTCGATTAAAGGAAAAGATGGCCTTAAATACGAAAAAAAAATCTTCAATATCTTCTATTGTATAGATACGAAAGATATGCAAAAAAGTATCAAGGCTAGATAAAATTATTATTATATCTATCAAAAAGTATAAAACAGAAGTGGTTTGACAAATGGCAAATTCAATTCCCGCTGAGAGTTTACCCAGTGTTTACTTAACAAAATAATTGATGAGGTGATAATTAACAAAATGTATTGAAAATAATTAACTCTTGAATAATATGGATAAACTAAACAGATAGAAATTTTTTTAATACAAGTTAAAGTAACCCACTTCAATTTCTTAACTATTACGGATTTTCGTAAATAGAATGAGGATGAAAATTTGAATCATTTGAAAATTAGAGAAAGTAAAAAAGAAAAACTACTTTTTTGAGGAACTTCCGAAAGCTCGGAAAATTGTCAATATTTCGAATACTAGCAGCATTTGAGCGGTCATAGTTCTGATTAAAATTACCAACATGTATTGCTGGTCTGAAACTATTTAACCAGCTGTCTAATGCAGTTAAAGAAAAAACCTAAGTTTCAGTAAAATTTCAAAAAATCATAAAATCGTAGATACCGCAATAACTAGCAATAGTTGAGGATCATATTTATGGGCTAGATTTGCAGCCTATAGGGGTGTTCAGATAGCTTTTAACCAGCAGCCTAATAACTTTTTTTCTTTAAGTTTTTTATGAAAAAAATCATAAGCTCGTCGATAGCTCGAAAACTAGCAACAATTGAGGGGTCATTTTCCTACGCGTAACTCCTTAACTATAATAAGGGTTTGATAGAGTCCAACCACTGGGATTGGATTGTTGAAACATGGCAAGCGATTACAAAATTTTAAAAACAAAGCGGGTAAAGTAAAGTCAGTATTTCCCATAGTAGAAATTTCGTTCAATTCGTGAATAAAAATGGACTCTTTAATCTTTTTTTATGCAACGAAGATTCGATGGTAGCAAGGCGTTTTCAGCCAGTAAGTTTGATAGTTTTGAAATCTTGTTTTTTTTCTATAGAGTATGACTGTTGTTTATTTCCGCAGAAAAGTTTTTGGCATAGCAATCTATTTGAACTGCTAGTTTTATATCAATTTTCGAACGGCGTAAGCATGGTGTTTAAACACGTAGTTCAATGTAGGCAATTGAAAGAACGCATGCAAAACATCAAACATATACATAAAGCTCATAAGCAACCAGTATTTTATTTTTAAGGCAATTTCCGGATACGCTATCAAATTTGCGATCAAGTTAATCATAGGCAAAACTTTTCTTTGGGCCATAAAAAGAGGGTCGAGTGTAGATAAATTGACGCACCCTTTAAAGAGCAGACCATTTTGTATTATAGGTTTTATGTTAGCATTAAAATAGGTTTTTAACATAATTTTAGGTACAAAATGACGAATTTTTGAGACAATATGTTTGTTATAATGCAACCATGTGCTTATATTCGTTGTCAATTAAAACAGTAAAACTAGTCCTCAGGGAATTTTTAATTTGTATTTCATAGGCAATTCATAAACCTGTCTCGAGTCTCCAATACACTTCTTAAATTTATTATAATAGTAGTATCGTTTAGTTGTCCTTATCTTTTTTTCTTTCTTTCTTTCCTGAAGAAAATTCTCTTTCAATAAGTTGCCAGGAATCAGCTTTCCATGTTTCGAACAAAGAATTTTCCGTAATTCTTACTTTTTGAAGCTATCTGGAACCATTGATTATTACTTCTAGTCTTTTGGCGGACCTCGCGCAGAGGTGCAGAATCATCTTATGTTTCCGTTAAACAACTCTGCATTATTTCGTTGATTTGTCAATCTCGTCGTATGTTACTAGCCCCTGAGAATTCAACTTTAAGTTTTATGTGAAGCTGAAATGTTTTTAATTTTTGATCTTTAGAAAGAAAGGACATGTCGCATTTTTTTGGGTTTACTCGCATCTTTAGTTTTGAAATTTTCACGCAAAAATCGGGATGGTGATCACAGAAGCACTCTTTGTTGATAACCTCGAAAATTGGGTTTTTCAAATTACGGAAAATTAAATGGTCAATACATGAAGGAGATTTATCATTAAATCTAATTGGTTTCAATTACATCAGTTTAAACGCATTAGCTGTAATGATATTCACATAAAGCTGCGATAACTGATTGCTTTCTAAAGTATCAATGCTGAAATCTCCTGAAATTAGTTAGTCTGAAATTAGTTAGTTTTTCTAGCTCTTAGTCAAAACTTTCTGTAAAAGTTAGCTTGTTTATCCGTAAAACGTAGTTACCAAGCAGAACAATTTGATCTGATAGCATTTAACCAGCAGCCTAATAACTTTTTTTTCTTTAAGTTTTTAGAAATATTATGAAAAAAATCTTAAGCTCGTCGATAGCTCAAAAACTAGCAACAATTGAGGAGTGATATTCCTACGCGTAACTCAATAACTATAAAAAGGGTTCGATAGAATCCAACCACTGGGATTGGACTGTTGAAACATGGCAAGCGATTACTAAATTTCAAAACAAAGCGGGTAAGGTAAAATCAGTATTTCCCATAGTAGAAATTTCGTTCATTTCGAGAATAAAAACGGACTCTTTAATCTTTTTTATGCACCGAATATTCGATGGTAGCAAGGCGTTTTCACCCAGTAAGTTTGATACTTTTGAAATTTTTTTTTCTATAGAGTATGACTGTTGTTTATTTCCAAAAAAAATTTTTGGTATAGCAATATATTTGAACTGCTAGTTTTATATCAATTTTCGAACGGCGTAAACATGGTGTTTAAACACGTAGTTCAATGAAGGCAATTTAAAGAACGCCTGCAAAACATCAAACATATACATAAAGCTAGAAACAACCAGTATTTTATTTTTAATGAAATCTCCGGATACGCTATTAAATTTGCCCTTAGAGTGAATCATACGCAAAATTTTCCTTTGGGCCATAAAAACAGGGTTGAGTGTAGATAAACTAAAGCACCCGTAAAAGAGCAGACCATTTTGTATTATAGGTTTTATGTTAGCATTAAAATAGGTTTATAACATAATTTTAGGTACAAAATGACGCATTTTTGAGACAAAATGTTTGTTATAATGCAATCATGTGCTTATATTCGTTGTCAATTTGAAAAAAGATCTAGGGCAGTAAAACTAGTCCTCAGGGAATTTTTAACTTGTACTTCATAAGCAATTTATAAACCTATCTCGAGTCTCCAATACATTTCTTAAACTTATTATAATTGTAGTCTCGTTTAGTTGTCCTTATCTTTTTTTCTGTCCTGAAGAAAATTCTCTTTCAATAAGTTGCCAGGATCAGCTTTCCAAGTTTTGAAAATAAGATTTTTCCTTATTATTATTTTTTGAAGCTATCTAGAACCATTGAGCATTACTTCTAGTCTTTTGGCGGACCTCGCGCAGAGGTGCAGAATCATCGTATGTTTCCGTTAAACAACTCTGCATTATTTCGTTGATTTATCAATCTCGTCGTATGTTACTAGCCCCTGAGAATTCAACTTTAAATTTTATGTGAAGCTGAAATGTTGTTAATTTATGATCTTTAGAAAGAAAGGACATGTCGCATTCTTTTTGGTTCACTCGCATCTTTAATTTCGAAATTTTCACGCAAAAATCGGGATGGTGATCAGAGAAGCACTCTTTGTTGAGAACTTCGAAAATTGGGTTTTTCAAATTACGGAAAATTAAATGGTCAATACATGAAGGAGATTTATCATTAAACCTAATTGGTTTCGATTACATCAGTTCAAACACATTAGCTGTAATGATATTCACATAAAGCTGCGATAACTGATTGCTTTCTAAAGTATCAATGCTGAAATCTCATGAAATTAGTTAGTCTGAAATTAGTTAGTTTTTCTAGCTCTTCGTCAAAACTTTCTGTAAAAGTTAGTTTGTTTATCCGTGGAACGTAGTTACCAAGCAGAACAATTTGATCAACTGAAAATTCGATTATAATAATAGCAACTCCTTCGCTAAAGCTGGTAATATGGATAAGTTGAAAAGGATTGCTTTGTTCCGATTAAAATACATTTCCAATTTCTTTCAGACTCAAAACTGATAGCGAATCAACTCACGCGAAAGAATTGTTCCAGCCTCAGAGCCGGGGGAATTTCGGCGAAAAACTCGAAGGGTGGCATCACAGCATACGCATCCCCACGCACTGACTCTTCCCCTGAGCATCCGTGTTTGTCCTTTTCCTCGGATAGGCATTTTACTTCAGACGAAGATTTCAGCTGAGTTTGGAAAAGATTTGCAAGCAGGGACTGGAATTGTTCAGACTGTGCGATTTGCTGCACATGCTGTGAAAACTTCTCACTTCGATCCATTTGGTGTTAGCATCCAAGTGCTACATTGAAACTGAAACTAATAAAGATTTCTTCCCAAAGATATGAATGACATAATCGTTTAAGGAGAGAGACAGAGGTGAAGCTAAAGCGAGGCGAAGTGGAGCTTCGCAACATTTGCAATACAACAAGAAGATTACATAACAACCTAGTGATCAGAAAAAGGAACTAAAGCCCAGAGCTTTCAGAAAATAATTGAAAAAAAAAATTATCTAGAAAAAAATGCATTCTTTAGATGCCCCTTCCGCCCTCAGCGACTCGAACCCCTCACCGACGCAAAGATTTCCTTTGACATTTCGGTACTCGTTTAACATTCATTTTTAGCTGCCTGACGCTGAAATTTTTCTGAAGGCGCCATTATATACAAATACAGATTTATTTTGAGGAAGCGCGCACTTTCCAAAAAGTGGCCATAACGCCTTTTGACCTAATTTTTCAAAAAAATTGTCTGATGCGCAGAAAATTTGGGCAAAATAAGGTCTTTATATTGATTCCGGAGAGCTCAAAATCAACTTGGTCGACAAAAGAAATAGTGGACAAAAATTTTGAATTAATTTGAAAATCCTCCTTCGAGAAAGACCTAGATCTGCCCCTGAAATTGGCATTTGAAAATTAAACGCGAATGAGCCGACAAAAATTAGGACGAAAACCACAAACCCGACAAAATTTCAATAAATTAATATGAAAAAATATTTTACTGAAATAAAACCAGGTAGCTATAATTGAATTTTCAAGACACTGAGCATGTCAGCCTTCACGTGAAAGTAACTGCGCTTATTCGTGCAGATTAGCAAAAAAAGTAGTTCGCCAGGCAAAAGTATAAATCCCGATAAGAAGTAGTTTGCGAGGCAAAGTATAAATTCCGATTACAAGTACTTACGCTCTCGCAAGTGAAACAACATATCTGTGTGCGAAGCTGGCCACTGCTCCCAAAATTTAATCATCATTTTCGACGTGATTCAGAATATGTTGCACGCAAGAAGGCATATCAGCTTTTCTTAAGAACTCTTTCATTCATTTTGATAATTTGGTTCAAAGTCAAATCCAAAACTGAAGGTTTATGCTAGAAAGACTGCTCAGACAGTTTCACTCAAGTGGAAAAAACTAAGAGCAACAAATTCGATTTACCAGTTGCTCAATTTCTTTTTCGCGTGAAAACTGCGCATTTAAATACTCCGGACCAAGCTATTCATCTGGACCGAAAAAATTAAATATGAAACTTTTAAAGCCATTTTTCTTAATACAGTAAACTTTAAAAAAAAATACGGTAGAAAAACTTACAAAAAAGACAGAAAGAATAAGTCCTTACAACCGTAGTTGAGTTCCAATTAAGTCTACTAACTGATGCCACAGAAGCTATTCTTAATTCATTCAATGCGTTTAGTCCCTCAAAACCAATTGCATTTCAATTAGGTAGAGGAATAATACGTAATTTACGCGTTTAAAACAGGATAACCTACCAATTGTGCTAATTGCAGGCAACAAAAGTCTAGATGTCTAGATGTTTCTTCCATCCCTCTCAAAGTTAAATGAGAAAATTTATTGGTTTCAACTTACAATGCACACGAGCCGTGCTAATCTGCCGGACCCAAAAATTCTAGTTTGAGCCAAGATTGCTTTAAAAAACTTCTTAAACAGGTGCAAATGGTGGAAAGGGGACATAGTGATAAGCATGGGTGTCTGACAGAAGTTATGTAGCTATCTTGCTTTAAAAACCGAGAGGTTATCTTGGTTCAATTATTCTGAAAACAGCATTTTTCGATAAAAAATAAGACAGCATTTTGTAGCTACATATTTTGAAAACAGCATTTTTCGATAAAAAATAAGACAAAGCTTGATTAAAATCCTGCTTGCGAAAACCCTAAATTGGCGCCTAACTACTATAATACTTCTTAGATGTTTTTTCTTTCTGTTTAATAAAAATTTCTTCAAGGATCATTCTGACCAATTATGTTTGCAAAAAGAAGAACATTTTTTTTAACACAGCGGCGCAGCTGAGCTTCGCGCCACTTGCGATAGAACAAGTTTAGGATTAAAACAGCATGACGCTGAAGTAGCAAACTCAAAAAAATTGAAAAAAGAACTAGAAAAACAAAAATGAAAAAAAAAATGAAAGGTAGGTTTTTTCATGATCAAATTTAATTTCTTTCAAGACAAACTTGTGGGGGTTGACTTTGAGTAATCGAAAATGAGGAGCCGGAGTCTTACCGATCTTTAAAATAAAGCCACAAATTCGTAGGAAACAAAATATTAGGTAAAAGCCGACAAAACAGACAGCCAATAAACAGAAAATCAACCAAAATGTACAGCTTGTACATTGTCTACAATTGCATATATGTAGTTGATGCAAGGGTCAATTCGAAAATTAACTGACAAAGTTAAAGCCGATAACCATTAAGCAGAAAACTTGAAATACAACAAAAACATAGCACAGACTAGCAGACAGGATAAGAGACGAAAGTCGCCAATTCAAAAAAAATTAAAAAAAGTAATAAGGTTGAGAAAAACTAAATCTGCCGAAACTTTCAAAAGTTGTATCAATTTTTTTCGAATAAAAATCATTTTTAACGAAAATAACATGCCAAGTAAAACAACTGATCATTAAACTTGCATCGGAACAAAAATTACGTAGCGTTAGCAACCCAACACTGCTAATTGCGAAAACAATAATCACATGCGTAATAATCCCGTGTTCATTAATCGGCAATGACAAAAATTATTGATAAAAAAAATTGTTGAACTTTATTTGTGAAATTTGTATCAGAAAATATTATCAGAAAATGCAACAATATTTTGAAAATAGATTATACATCAATTAATTCCACTAATGGCCTTCAGAAAACTAGAAGAAAGCTGAATCTTTCAATAACTGTACGTGCAATGGGAACGAAGCCGAAAGAATAAAGAGGTGGACGATTGCCTAAAAAAGCAGAAAACTTCTTGTGTGAAAAAAAAACAGGTTCGGGCTGGATTCGACCACACGCCTTAGTCGTCTTAAGCATGGGTTACCTCTACGCCAGATGCGCTGGTTGCTTGATTCAATTTGAGTTCATTATGATCAACGAACTAAAAAACCAAAAATTTCAAAAAAAAATTACCAATAAAACTAATAAATTAAAACATTAGACCAGCAAAACTAACAGAATAAAACATTAAAAAAATAAGCCGACATAATTAAAGCTGAACGACCTCAGTGCCCAAAATCTACCAAAAGTTTTCGAATATATCAAAAAAACAATAATAGCGTGGGTACTGTATTGGCCATGTGTAAAAGTAAGTAGCTGCTTATAATTTTTTTGATATATTCGAAAAATTTTGGTAGATTTTGGGCACTGAGGTTGTTAAGCTTTAATTATGTCGGCTTATTTTTTAAATGTTTTATTCTATTAGTTTTGCTGGTAATTTTTTTTTGAAATTTTCGGCTTTTTAGTTCGGTGATCATAATGAACTCAAATTGCATCAAGCAACCAGCGCATCTGGCGTAGAGGTAACACATGCTTAAGACGACTAAGGCGTGTGGTCGAATCCAGCCCGAACCTGTTTTTTTTCACACTAGAAGTTTTCTGCTTTTTTAGGCAATCGTCCACCTCTTTATTCTTTCGGCTTCGTTCACATTGCACGGACAGTTATTTAAAGATTCAGCTTTCTTCTAGTTTCTGAAGGCCATTAGTGGAATTAATTGATGTATAATTTATTTTCAAAATTTTGTTGCATTTTCTGAAAATTTCTTTAATACAAATTTCATAAATAAAGTTTAACAATTTTTTTTATCAATAATTTTTGTCATTGCCGATTAATGAACACGGGATTATTACGCATGTGATTATTGTTTTCGCAATTAGCAGTGTTGGGTTGCTACCGCTACGTAATTTTTGTTCCGATGCAAGTTTAACGATCATGGATATTTAATAGCGTGGGTACTGTATTGGCCGTGTGTAAAAGTAAGTAGCTGCTTAAATATCCATGCAGTGGTACACTGACCATGCAACGGGTAGAAAACATACTGATTACCATTTGACCATTCTGTGAACAAAGTTTTTTACGAGAAAAAAAGACTAGTACGCCATTGCATTACCCTTATTTATCGCAAGGGTAATAATGCAACGATTGACTCAAAAATAAACAATTCTTCCTCCAAATCAAGTTCACTTAAAGAGAACTGTCCACTATTCCCTTAAAAAGTGTCTGAATAGCTAAAATTGACAGTTTTATCTACCATAAGACAACTTTTTGGAATTTGAAGCCCTTCGATTTTTCATTGAGGCAGTAAAATCAATTGAAAAAAATCACCCAATGCCATTTTCCTATGTTCCTTTGTTATCTGACCTTTCTTTGAGTTAGTCAAGATCGACAAAAAATCACACAAAGCCAAAGTTCAATCCAGTCACTGCGTGAAATAATCGCAACAAAAAACGGAACAGAGAACTTTATTACCATTTTGTTATATTAACTCGTCAAAAGGATGCTTTCGAAAATACGAATTGCCACTGAAGCTTATTTAATTACATCAAATGTATTTAAATTATAAGCTACACAAATTAAGAGAGAAATAGCCAATTTTATTTCATACAAAAACTGAAGTTTATTCACACTAATTGAAATACTGGGATATGAGATTAAATTCGAATGAAAAATTTATACAGCCATTTATTGTGAACACGCTGTGGTAGAAAGAGATAGAAACATTAGCCCTAAAATTTTTACCTTTGCAAAAAGAAAATAGTTCACACTATTTTAGAAAGAAATTTTTTCGTGTATCAAGTGAGTCGAAACAAACTTTTTTAAACTGCACTTAAACTTTTCTAATTGCAGATTCTGTTTTATCGCCGATTCTTTTACGAAACATTTGCTGGTGCGACTTTGGTGATAGGCGAATCAATCGACTCGTCCTCAGCCAACACGAGTTTGCCCAAGTAAAGTCCTTCCGGCTCAGTAGCCGGATGCACTTTGTTCACCTCTTCAATACACGCCTCAATAGTCTCCGGCTGCTGCTGGGGAGTATTGCCAGCTTCAGTTGTTATCGGTGAAGCTGCGATCGATTCCAGTTCGTTCAGGTTCTTTTCAATTGTGCTCTGTTTAATTATGTTTATCCCTTCAGCGAACGACACGCGTCGGCTTCTGTTCGCTTCTTCGCTCGGCTCAGCCAACGACTCTCCTTCATCCGATTCCATTTTAGACTCCGAACTCACGTTCGGAGTTTTCTCTTCACAAGTCGTGGGCTCCAGCGACTCCTGTTCGTTTGTGGGAGGGGTGAACTTGATAACTGGTTCGGGTTTCATATCTCCGTTTGGTTGCTCTGCTTGGAAACTGGGCGTAACAGTTTCGTTTTTCTGCATCGAATCTTCTCTTTTTGGTTGTTCACGTCTAAATCAACAATGCTATGATAATCAAATGATATATCTGATATTATGTGATGAAATGTAAGAACACTGAACAAACTGATCGCATCAAGTTCAATATTAGTTGTCCAATAACAGACCTAACACCGAACCGCACTAGCAGTTTTGTATGGCAATATAACCAGAAAATACAACAAGAATCACAATCATAAAATAATCAGGATTCAAGCAACTTCACTCTTATATAAAACCTTTAATCAGAATACAGGGAATGTATGTCAGCTCTGTTTCCACAGACAAAATGCTTTGTGGAAAGGGTTGAAAATTAATTCACGCCGTCAAATTTGATGACCACTCATTCGCAGTGGCTGGGTTGCACTTGGCAAGTACGCATTTCTGGAAGGTAGAAGTTAAATAGAATGCAAACACCTTAGTGGTATTTGTATCAAAACCAGATCAACGGATTAGGTGTATTGGCAAGACATTGATTTTACTATTACAGAAATACAACAAAATCTTTGACCACATTTGGAAATTTAGATTGAGAAAAGCAAGCAAACACTCGATTAATCATATGAACCTCATTAAATATTAACTTGAATGCGGCTCCTTTTACAAATTGAAAAGCTTTTAAGGCAAGGAGTTAAACAGTATACTTTAGTCCTCCCAAAATTAGTATCCATATCTATTCTATTTTCGGTGTCAGGACTATTTGCCCCAGGACAACTGGCCCTATGCCAACTTGCCCTATACTAAACTGCCCCATATGAAAACTTGTCCTATGCCAACTTGCCCCATATGACAACTTGTCCTATGCCGTTTTGTCCCAAAATTAACACTTCTAGTTAATTATTTGATGTTCAAATCGATTAACGTATAGGACCAGCAAGTGCTAATGGTAAACTGAACTCTTTTTGCAATAACAGGGGAAACTGACTCAAAATCGTTTAAATTAAGCCTCAGAAATCATCTAAGCCATAACTTTTGTCAATTTAACGCGAAATTGTGACAAAAATCCGCAATTAACGCTATTGAAACAGAACAAAACACTAACAAGAGTCCTCGTATCAGGGCGAAGCCCTGAAAGTTCCGACTGCCTTTTACCGTTTATGGAGCAGTAATAACATAAACAACATAAAAAATTAAATGAAATAAAATAAATAAAAAACTTTTTTTTCTAAAATTTGAAAATTTTTCGATGAAAATCATCCCCCCACACGCCATATAAAGTACAAAGCAATAGATTTCGCTCCTTGTAACAAATCAATTATGGCAAATAGGCTTCTTTCAACCAATTTGGAACGATTTCTAGGATGGATTAAATCTCCGCTTACGCGTTAATGGCGCGAAATATATCGCGCGTTAATTGTCCCAAATTGGTCAAAATGGCAATCTTTAAACCCTCATAACTTTACGAAAAATGATCACAAGTAAAATATCTTTTCAGATTTGAGCTCATGACAACAATACCTTTTAAATGGTATTAAAAAAATCCGTCAAAAATGACTAGTTGAAAAGTCGAAATTTGTCTGAAAAAAACGCACCCCGAGCACAAATATTCCGTTACTTTCGTATCAAAAGTCGGAACAACAAGCAGTTTCGACAGAATCATGGCGGGCACTAATTTATAAACACTATTTCTCTCGTGCCGACTGTGAGCGCAGCGGAGCAAGCATATTCTACTTGCCAATGCCTTCTTGTTACAAATTGTCGTTTGTTACGAATTATCGCCTGATACGAATTGTAGCCTGTTACGAATCGTCGCCCTACTCCTTTTCTTTTTTTTTAAAAAACCTCCTTTTTTGTAAAGCATTCGGTAATAAAACTGTGTTCTGTACTACACATTTGCAACAAAACCACTTCGTCCAGATGGTTCTAGCAAAATATCATCACAAAAAGATCCTCCGCATGCAGTAGTTCACATGATTCTATTATGATCTATCAAGCAATCTTTGATACCAATTATCAACGTTAGAAAGTTTATACTATACGAAAGTTGTAAAATTTATGAATTGCCTCGAGTTATGCAAGAGCTTGACAAAACTACCAATGAGCGATAACAAAGTCCAACCTTTTAGAACTCAATGACCCAAAATTAGCAGTGATATAGCACATCAAAAGTAGTAAAGCGATTGAAGACTAGATTCAAAATATCACTGGCAAAAAACTATCAACAAATATGCTATGCTGCGCAGCGCAAACACAATTGAATGAATTCGGGTCATTATTGAAATCTCAAAAACTTTATGAAAAACGATCACACATAGTATTTCAACACGTACGCTGAGCGGAGATTCGCACTACTTGTGATAAATGACAAACATAACAAGGTAAGCTAGCCGAAAGAAAAACAGACGAAGCACAAATATTCCGTTACTTTCGTATCGAAAGTCGGAACAACAAGACTGCTCGTATCAGGGTTAAGCCCTGAATGTTCCGACCGCCTTTAAAGTTTTATGGAGCAGTAATAACATTAAAAAATTAAATGTAATTAAATAATATGATTTTTTTCTTAAATTTGAAATTTTTATGAAAATCATCACCCCACACGCCATTTAAAGTACAAAAAGATGATCACAGGTAAAATATCTTTTCAAGTTTAAGCTCAGGACAACAATACCGTTCGAATGATATAAAAAAATTCCGTCAAAAATGGCTAGTTAAAAGTCGAAATTAGTCTGAAGAAAAAAACCCACCCCGAGCACAAATATTCCGTTACTTTCGTATCGAAAGTCGGAACAATAATTTTGTTTTGCGTCTTTGTTAAAATCTTTTCTGTGTAAAACTACAACTTAACTATTATGAGTCAACTTATTGTCTTGTGGGGCAAGTTGGTGTAGGACAAGATGGGCTGGGCAAATTAACTTGGGGCAAAATGACATGTAACCCTATTTTACAACTGTTTTTAACCCCCAATTTGCTGAATAATTAGCGCTGAATTTGAATGCTTCATCATGCGAAGTTGCTTGAAGTATTTAACCTCTCTGAATCCACGCCTCGAAAGTAAGGATAATCTATTTCGCTTTAAATAGTTTTCTCTTAATTCTTTCAGCGAAAAGCTGACCATTAAATCATACTTAAAACCCAAAGAGACCGAGAAACTACATTTCTTATTAGCTCTTATCTAGATAGAGGAATACACAAACGAAGATAAATACGAAGCGAGAGTACCCGTTTTCCCCAGAGATAAATTCTCCAACTCATTGAAATTAGGAGCTTATTAAACAACTATTGAAATTTTTCAGCAAATTAGCAAACATTTCAATCTGTTTTAAGACAAAATCAAAAAAAAAAACAGAAGGGAATATAACCCGATTAAATCGGAACGTGCAGAAAATGAAACAGTCTCAGTAAACAACTGTCGAAATCGGAAAAACAAATCGACTTTCGAAAAAATATCCACGAGATGAAAATGTAGGAAGGTAAGAAACATTCAATAAGATGACCAAAGTAAAAGAAGCGTAAATCTGAATAATAATTACATCAGAGCTGCCATTAGCTGATAACAAAACTCGCTATCAGAAAACAGCAGAAAAATTGACTAAAATAGATTTTCTAACCAATTGACTGTTTCTAAACGACTCAAAAAGCAACAAACAATTTGTACTTTGCTGAATAATTTATTGAAAAAATCTGCTGCTGCGATAGAACCTGCGATCGGAGAAACATGGCATTGCAAGCTAGCAGACATATATTGAAATGAAATCCACTATGTAAAAAATGTCGTTATTTTGACACTTTTTAAATATATTTTTTTGACTGTTTGTCTCAAAGGACGCTCAATTTGAGAAAAAGACTTACAGAAACACAACCGCCGGTGTTAAATAAGCATTCAGAAACAACTATCGAGAAAAAATTTTAGTCCGCTCCCCACTCCGAAAACATATAAAAAGGATAAAAATTTTTTTTTTTCCTTTCAAAAGTCTCAAATACAGAAGACTCAGCGAAAAAATCATAGGCCCATACCATAAAGACCGAATAAAGCTCAACAGAAAAAAAGAAAGTAAAAAAAAACAATTACTGAATTTGCAAATTAAAGAAACTTAGCAAATGAATCACCAATAATTACCATGAAAATTGTTTAGAGCACAAGAAAATTAGGTAAAGTTGCAAGTAAGCCGACAAAACATGAGCAGAACACCGTTAGGCTAAAACTGTTGTAGTCCTGAAATTTTCAAACCAGGTGAAAACCAAACCTAGACTTTTAGACGTCCCAGCACACATTACCTCTACGAAGGAAACTAAAATCGGAAAACTAGAACGCTTGAATTTATTACCAGCCAAGCTATTAAAAGATTCAACTGATTATGTTAAGCTAGCTTTAAAACTCCAAAAAAGTCTTAAATCCGATTCGAAGACGCTAACTAAGTGCAAGCGTAAATATCTGGAAAAAAGAGCTTAGCCAACAGACAAATGGAAAAGTGTAACAAAATAAGAAAACAATCAAAAGATTGATTGAAAATTGTTGCACATTTTCAAATACTGTTGCCTATTTTTCAAAATTTATTTCAAATACTGTTTATGATTAGCACTTTTTCTAACATAACCATTTAAAGAAAATTAACTCCATAGGCAATTTTCTGATTTCTGCTGCAAAATCAGAAGTTTACAGTCTACTTTCGAAACAAAAAGTGGATCATGTTTTTCAAGACCTTTGCTGTTTGAGAGTCGAGCTTGCCTTCCTTTTAACAAAACAAATATACTGAACTTAAAAAGGAACACAAGTCAAACTTAAGACTGTCTTCTGAAGAAAAACTGAAAAACCATCACGCCCTATACGTATGACTTCTAGTTTTTTAACACTTGACTAACCTGTGTCAAGAACCATACCAAACTTCAAAAAGTCAAGATTGTATGATAGTCAACTTGCTTTAACCACTTGGATAAAACTGGATTAATTTTTTATTCCGTTGGAAAATAAAAAACTGATCCACCCCTTTTGAAAACTGAAATGCAAAAAAAGGCCAAGCGGATTTTTGCACCACTTGCGACACCACGCAAATAAAACCAATCAAGTTAGCAGAT